TCCAGGTCTTGGATAGTGAGCTTTTCTTCCTCATTTTTGAGCTTCATTTCATTCACTTCATCATCTAGCTTCTGTATTTCTGCCTGCATTTTTGTAGTTTCCTCTCTTTGCTTCAGGGAATCTCTAGCCATGACAATTGCTTGGTAGGGGTTTTTCACAAAATCTGGATCTTCATTTTCTTTCAGAAGATTGCCATTTCTTTTCCTTGCAGCTACTGAAAAGAGTTTCAATCAGAGGATGGTCAGACATAAAACAAGTCCATATCTTCAAATCTTAAACTATAATCATCAACTGCCACTAACCTATTGCAGGAGACATTGGCCTTGACTTCCTATTGTAATCGAGTTGTCTCAAAGCTAATGCATCACAAGGTTCCCTTCGAGATTCTACGATTGCAGCTGGAGCCAGGCCCATCTCATCTTTTAACCCAAAAAAGTGGTGTGGGAAAGAATGAGAATCCACTATTTGTGAAGCATTCAATTCTTGATTTTCTCCTTCATCGTACAAAAACGAGAAGGCTCTGTGCCTGTCATTTGCAAATACAAATACCATCACCCTTCCACTAGACGTCCAAGAAAAATTGAGAAACAACAAAAATAAAGATTAAAAAAACCCTGCCTGAAATCTGAGTTTGACGATGCAAAAACAGACAGGAACTGGTTCACAGAGATCCCCAATTGGAAATCCCACCATGGCACCAAGAATTCCAGCTTGTTTTTCTTCCTCTTACAGACTTGCCGCTGTAATATCCTTATATTGCTAAGAACAGTCAAACCTCCCCCTGCATTCCCACACCAAAGGAGAAAAATCACACAATATGACACACACAACGTAATTGAATTCTACTTCTACACATTCTCAAAAATATAAAAAGAAATGAAAATTACTTGAACAAGGAAACCAGTGATCAACATCCCAAGCCAGAGGAGAGGCCGAATCTGCGTGATAATAGATCACATTGCCATAACCATCCACTCGAATTACAGCGGGGTCAAAGCCAGCATTCCTGAGATTATCGAAATTGTCAATAACACAACACAAACAATGCATCAGAAATCAAAATTGAAACTTTCAAACTGAAACCTACCCAAGATGGCGGAGCTGCTTCCACAGGACACTGACAAAGATCTTAGGCTTGCTGGTAGCCTTAGCTTTGGGATCAATAATAGGAAACATCTCATCCAAATCCCTAGCTCTCTCGGCCTAAAACAACAACCAACAACACAAAATTCTTGAATTCAAACTCACAACTCGCTTTAAATGTGTTCTTTACCACTTAATCTAAGATATACATAATGGAGAGAGAAAGATCGTTTTTTTTTTTGCTTACCTCATGTTCTTGCAAAGCATAAGGGATGAAGGTAAAGGGAGGGCCAAGGCTGTAGGCACCGAAACCCCGGTCACGGCAGAGTTTTGCGAAGGCTTTAGGGTAGCCAAGGTTCTCATTCACTACCATCTCATCTGGGGCGAACCCATAATCCTCAGCTTCCGCCATTACCGTTGGGTCGAGGTTTGAAGTTCTTGTTTGCTGTTACAGTTTTTGTGGAGAGTGGAGGAGCGTGGTCTGTTTTGTTTCTTGTTTGGTTTCGTTAGAATGATGTACCTAAGACTAAGAAAGCCAACGGTCGAATCGATTTTAACTTTCAAAGGTTTGAAACCCAACTAATCAATTTAAAGATTCTGGTCACTTTTCATTACATGTAATAAATTTGGTGTAAAGGGTTCCCTCTCTATGATACTAACATAACGGTTACAAAGAACGAGGATATGTCATACTCACTCTATCTAGTATTTGTTAGGACTAAAGTGCCCCTGAGATTGTTTTGTTGTCAAATGCTCATAGGATTCAAGAGATTTTCTTTTCACCCACATAGTCCACTTAATTTAAAATTTACATAAATAACATATTTTGTTAAATATTTATACAAATAATATTTTTTTTTGCATTTTTCTAAAATATCTTTGTTAAATAAAAAAGAAAAAAATAAATAAAAATTCAGTTTTATGACAATGGAAATCATGTTTTGTTTTTCAACAAATTTCCTCTAAATCATTGACCTGAAAAAAAAAATATTATATGTATAAATATGTTATCCGAGTAATTTATTACTCTATATTTGGGTAAAAATGTCTATTAAGATGAAAAAAAAGAATAAAGTGGGTGAAGGGTAGTTCTTGTTGCTATGGATTAATTAAAGTAATGGAAAAAAAATTGAAATGAGAAAGTAGGAAATGATTTTGTAAGAAATTAATTTGGTTTGAGGAAATTGAGGGCACTGTGTAGAAAAAAGCTAGCAAAAAGTATCTTTCATTTCAAACAAAGTACAGTCCAAAAAAGAAACAAGATTGTAATGTTTTATTATGGAAAGTATAGTTAACGTAGAAATATGGGTATTTACTGTATCCTGTGTTGATGATTAGTGGGGTTCCCATGTCAGTTTTTTGGTTTGTGGTTTGAATTAAGAACTTGTTGTTGTGTCAAATTCTGAGTTGCAGAAGCATGCTCTTAGTGGCTTAACGGTACTTAGGTGGAAAACTTGACCACTGTGTTGTGTGGTTTTTCTTTCATAGCCTTAGTGGGTTAAGCGTACTTCAATTTTCGATCGTGCCATTGGATTTGGTGCCCGGAAATGTTGCACTCAATTGCTCCATTTTTTGTGCTGTGTTGACCCTACCATTCAATTCGTATCGACAATGAAAATTCAGGTATAAGTATAAATTTTATTTTAAATAAAAATGTGATCAAAGTTCCGATTCGAGATAAGACCAAATTATAATATATAAATAATTTGTAAATTTTATGAGACTAAATTAGACTTAAAATTTACTTTCAAAAATGTTATCAAATACGCTTAAAACTCACTTTATAATAAAATGACAAAAAAAAAAGTATATAAAAATGAATAAAGTTAATCCTTTAGGTAATTACGTTTAGATTTTGAACATTAAATAGATAATAGCTCTCAGTATATTCTCTCTTTCTTATCTTTCCTTTTAGAAAATCCGTGTATTTGTACATTATTTTCTATCTCGCCAATTTAATTTTTATAAACCAAATGTCGAAATAAGAACTGAGAAAGTAAATAAAATATTGGTATGTATGTTTAGTAATCGAATATACTTAAAATAAAATGTTTCAAAAAAAGATCCACATAGGAACAAAAACAATCTAAACATTTATTATAAATTTAATCTAAACAATCTTATTTTCACCTCTGTTTCCTTCAAATTTACTTATCAGTCGAAAATATTTTAGATTGTATTATCTAAAAATCTGTTGAATCAAAGATTTAAAAAATATATTTTGGACATATAGTTTTTAATTTAAAATACATTTCCAAATTCAAAAATATATTTTGAATTATATAATCTGAAAATCTATAGTTACAATCGTAATGCATTTTCAGATTTCCAAATTCGAAAATGTATTTTAAATTATGAAATTTAGAACATATTTATGAGTTTCACAGTCCAAAAATTTAAAACAGGAATATTCTGGACTTCTTGAACGTTCCATGGAAGTGCATGAAGAAATTTCATGGAGGTGGAGGAAGTAATAGCCCACATTAAACATTTACTTTGTTTGGGCTTAGACCGTTAAAAAATTAGCCCAATTCGCATGGCTTGTGGTGAAGCACATTATATTGATAGCATATGTTGCATTGCAATATGTCGTATTAAACATTTTGCTTCAGTTGATGCAAGCTTCGTGAATCCTTTGAACATGGTTAACATTGCATATGATGCAGTCATGATAATATCAAACATTTCTTGTTAACGTAGACTAACATATTTTCAAATATACCAACTTTTGGTTTTATGGTAGCCAAATAAACATCTGACACAATGCAGTGTTTGCATTTCATCAATTTCTAACTGCCAAACGCAATATCCAAAACCTGATTTCTTAAGGTTTTAGCTTGTCCACGTTCCCTATTTTTAACCAACCCTTTCTTTTTGCTTTACCAACCTCCTTCATTATGGTAAAGTGTAATAGTAGCACTACTAGAAAGACGTTCTCCTTCCATAATTTATTATTATGTTGATAATCAATGATTTAAATGTTTTTTCCTCGTGGTCATGAATTTTAAGTATTACTCAACTTCATAAAGTCGGAATATCTTCTTATATATTATAAATTGTTTTGTCTCTTCGATGTAAAACTTTTCGTTATTGGACGAAATATTTGTTGGGTACAAAGTCCCACATAGAATAAAATAAGAGATGAATATGAGTTTATATACACATAACATATCTCCATTCTTAAGAGGCTTTTTGGAGTGATATCAAAAGCAAATCCTTGAGGGCTTGACCTAAAACGAACAATATCTTATCACTGTGGTATTTGTTTTATGTATTACACGTAACTATAAGTTACTCTATTTCTATTTTTGTTTGCTAAATAAATTCGTAGTCTGTATCTCCTTCTTTTCTATCTTACTTTGATCTTTTTGTAATTCCAATATATACACCTACCCAGATGATGTTGAGAGTTCTATTCACCTAAGTTTTTCATTTGATAACAAGTGTGCCACCTAACCCATTGCACGGATAATATGGTCACAAAGTCTACGATTATTTCGTAATCCTTGCATGGCTCTACTTTCATTTTATGCTGCAAAAGTCACCCTCTGCTACCCTCAAAACTTCAGCGTGGAGTCCTTATAATTTACTAGGAGCACTTTCATTTATATATATTCATGCATGTCACTCTTTTCTTTCACATATTAGGACTAAAAGGACTGAACTGCACAAGCAAAGATATTTTGTTTCAATATGTTTTAGCAACTGAGTTCAATCCATTTAGTCCACCCTTTCTTGCGATATTCTTGTGTTTAAATTAGAGGGTGCAACACTACCAATTCTTGGATATTACAATGATGTTTGGAATAACAGTCGTTTGGCTAAAATAGAATATCTTATAAAAACACTGATTTACTGAGTTTGAGAAGTTATTGCAGCTCCATTTTATATTTTTTTTTCACCTTTTTTGGTTGACAATGGCCAATGGTAGCCTGACTAAAGCTACTAGCAGCTTTCAAGTAAGCCGTTCTTCAATTTGGAGAGATGGAAGTGGAGTTTTTTCTAGGAATTCATTTGAAGAAGATGATGAAGTAGCTCTGAAGTGGGCTGCACTTGAAAAGCTTCCTACTTACAATCGTTTAAAGAAAGGCTTGTTAATCACATCCAATGGTGAGGTGAAGGAAATTGATGTCACTGATATTGGAACACAGGAAAGGAAGCATGTGTTGGAGAGGTTGGTAAGAGATGCTGAAGAGGACAATGAAAAGTTTCTGTTGAAGCTGAGGGAAAGAATTGATAGGTAATAAATTCATTTCTAGTATTTCCTTCGTCTTGTCTTGGTTCATATGATCTATGTATAATATATACATTCTATTTCAACATTACAAATCAAATATTGTTTTGTTTTCTTGCCTTTCCTTGACATTGCATCTATGAGTTTTCTACCCTTCAACGTTTCTAGAGTTGGGATTAGTTTTCCAACAATTGAAGCTAGATTTGAGCATCTGAATGTTGAGGCAGAAGCTTATGTTGGTAGCAGAGCCTTACCGACATTCTTGAACTCCATTGTTAATACAGTAGAGGTAAACCATATACCACTTTAATCCTTTTTTACCGATCAAAATCATTGTTGCATTTTGTATACATTTGATCTACTGCTAATTCTGAAAAATTTGATTTTTCAGAGTTACTTGAACCATATGCATATTCTTTCTAGCAAAAAGAAGCACGTGACCATCCTTAAAGATGTTAGTGGAATTGTAAAACCTTGCAGGTGAGAGAGTAGAATTGAAAGGATTCAAAAAGCTCAAACCTCATTCATTTTCCAATATCTTAGTCTCATACTCATACATCACCGTTGCATGTATCAGGATGACATTGCTTTTAGGTCCTCCAAGTTCTGGAAAAACCACACTCCTTTTGGCTCTGGCAGGAAAGCTTGATCCAGATCTTAAGGTGAAAAGAATTCCACTTGTCATTGGCTTTCTATTTCAATCGGCCATGTCCAACTCAAGTGCTGATGTATTCTGTAGGTTTCTGGGAGAGTGACTTATAATGGGCATGAAATGAATGAATTTATACCCCAGAGAACTTCTGCCTATATTAGTCAGCATGATGTTCATATTGGAGAAATGACTGTTAGGGAAACCTTGGCTTTCTCTGCAAGGTGCCAAGGAGTTGGATCACGTTATGGTTGGAAAATTTTTCGCTTCATGTTATTGAAAGTGATAACTTCCACTTTGTAATCCAATCATGACTTTGTATTGTTTTGACCATGTACAGACTTGCTATCTGAACTGTCAAGAAGAGAGATAGCAGCGAATATTAAGCCTGACCCTATTATTGATATATACATGAAGGTAAACACGGAGCTTTGAAATGTGTTTTTGTGTCCAAAACTTCCATTAACAAATTTGCTTAGGGAAGATTATTAGTGTTTACTTTGAAAGTAAAAACTGCTTAAGGGAAAATAATTTCAGTCATTGACTTCTGGTGATACCAGGCAACAGCATCTAAAAGCCTGGAAGCAAATAAAATGATGACAGAATATATACTTAAGGTGATATGATAACTCCAGTATCTGTTCTGACACTCCTACTTCAAAAATACAGTCTTAATAGCTTCCAAGAATTTGTTTATTTGTTATTTACAGATCTTGGGGCTGGAAATGTGTGCTGATATTGTGGTGGGGGATGAAACGTTGCGTGGTGTATCTGGTGGACAAAGGAAGCGTGTTACTACAGGTGGTGATCCGAATTCTCCCTGTAAGTTATTCCAATTCAGTTTCTACATTCTATATTCATATTTTACATGCATTATTTACAGGGGAGATGTTGGTTGGTCCAACAAATGCCCTGTTCATGGATGAAATATCTTCTGGCTTGGACAGCTCCACAACTGTTCAAATTATCAAGTGTCTTAGACAAATTGTTCACATTCTAGATGGAACAGCAGTTATCTCACTATTGCAACCAGAACCAGAGACATACGAACTTTTTGATGACATAATCCTCCTCTCCAACGGCCAAATAGTATATCAAGGACCTCGGGAATTCGTCCTTGAATTTTTTGAATCTATGGGTTTCAGATGTCCTGAGAGGAAAGCTGTTGCTGACTTCCTCCAAGAAGTGAATCGATCTTTACCTTTTCTTATCTCATACACGTTATGAAATTGGAAGAAAAAATATGCATGTGTATGATCAGAATATCAAATGATTAATTTTCATTGCCAGGTGACTTCAAGGAAGGATCAACAACAGTACTGGATCCACGAAGATGAGCCATACAGTTTTGTTACAGTTAACGAATTTGCCAAGGCATTTCAATGCTTCCATGTTGGTATAGAGCTTAGAGAAGAGCTAGCCATTCAATTTGATAAGACAAAGAACCACCCAGCTGCATTAACGACTAAGAAGTACGGGGTAGACATGAAGGAGCTTCTGAAAGCTAACTTCTCAAGGGAATATTTGCTTATGAAGAGGAATGCATTTGTTCACATCTTCAAGCTATCTCAAGTTAGTTTTATCCAGTGTTTTATATGTTTGATTGTAACGTATCTTATTTTTGTTTTGCATGCATGATTTTCATGTGTGATTCTTCCCCTTTTTCCATCAGCTTGCAGTGATGGCAGTGATAACAATGACAGTATTCCTGCGTACCGAGATGCATAAGGGTTCTGTGGATAACGGGGGAGTTTACACTGGTGCACTTTTTTTCTCTATAGTAATGGTGTTGTTTAATGGGATGGCTGATATTTCAATGAATGTAGCAAAGCTTCCTATATTTTACAAGCAAAGAGACCTCCTATTTTACCCTGCATGGGCATATGCTATTCCGAACTGGATCCTCAAAATCCCTATTACATTGGCTGAAGTAGTTGTCTGGGTATCTATCACCTACTATGTAATTGGATTTGATCCAAGTGTTGGAAGGTAAGCAATCTATCCTCATCTACTTTGGACTTAAGAAGATTCTCTGTGAGTGTGTGGCATTAGATCTAAGATGTGCTAATGATGTAGGTTTCTCAAACAATATCTTCTGTTACTACTACTTGGCCAGATGGCTTCTGCATTGTTTCGTACAATTGCAGCAACTGGTAGGAATATGATTATAGCTAACACATTTGGATCATTTGCAATAGTCACACTTCTGACTTTGGGCGGTTTTATATTGTCAAGAGGTACAAGTATTCAAAAGATGCAACAAACGTTTGTAGTTTTCAAATTTTTGAACCTTACATGTTTGCTTTGCCTTTTGATTTTCTCTTGAAATAGAGGATGTTAAGAAATGGTGGACATGGGGTTACTGGATTTCACCAATAATGTATGAGCAGAATGCTATGATGGTCAATGAGTTCCTCGGCCAGAGTTGGAGCCACGTAATTTCTTGAATCATCATCAAACTTGCAATATTTTCCAATTTGAAATGAGTTGTTAGAAAATAAATTTTCAACTACAGGTTCTTCCTAATTCCACCGAGTCACTGGGAGTTGAGGTTCTGAAGTCTCGAGGATTCTTCACTCATGCATCCTGGTATTGGATAGGGGTAGGGGCATTGCTCGGATTTGTTTCTCTATTGAACATCACATTCACTCTAGCTCTCACTTTTCTCAACCGTGAGTATTTCCTCCATACGGTTTTTATATTCATGCAGAAATGTTGCTATGACTCACTTATGCTATGGTAATGATTGAGCAGCACTTGAGAAACCACAGGCTATCATCTTGAAAGAATCTCATGGAAATAAGCATAAAGACAAAACTCTACAAGATATTGGATTACCACTTAAACTCCCAGGAAATGGTCCAAATAGAAACACAGAGACAGGTGATTTATTTTGTGTATGACCTGCATGCACACAAGCATACTTATGCTTCCCCTTTATAATTCACATCAATTCTTTCAGATTTTGAAAAGCTTTTCAATTTTTGTGCATCAGTGAGGCCAAAGGAAGTTGTTGATTCCAGCCACAGGAGGAAAAGAGGAATGATTCTTCCATTTGAGCCACATTCTCTTACCTTTGACGGAATCACTTACTCAGTAGACATGCCACAGGTTGATTTCCACGAAAACTCCTTACATAAGCACATTATCCTATCATAAGCCTGCTTCTTCCAGTAAAATAGAACCCGTTTTGATTTCAACTTGCAGGAAATGAAGAATCGTGGAGTAATTGAGGACAGATTAGTCCTTCTGAAGGGTGTTAGTGGTGCATTTAGGCCAGGCGTCCTCACAGCTCTGATGGGGGTTAGTGGAGCGGGTAAAACAACTTTGTTGGATGTGTTGGCAGGAAGGAAAACTGGAGGGTATATTGAAGGCAGAATCAGAGTTTCAGGGTATCCTAAAAGGCAAGAAACATATGCTAGAATCTCTGGCTACTGTGAGCAGAACGATATCCACTCTCCTCATGTTACAGTCTATGAATCCTTGCTCTACTCAGCGTGGCTTCGTTTATCTCCTGAAGTCAATTCTGAAACCAGAAAGGTAGCATATACTAACTGAACTGATCATAAATTTAGAGTTAGTTATCTTTACTGCTGAATCTTATGAATGATTACAGATGTTCATTGAGGAAGTCATGGAACTGGTAGAGTTGAACTTACTGAGGGAAGCTTTGGTTGGTTTGCCTGGTGTGAGTGGTCTCTCCACTGAACAGCGCAAGAGACTAACTATAGCAGTTGAGCTAGTGGCTAATCCCTCCATAATATTCATGGATGAACCAACGTCAGGTTTAGATGCCAGAGCAGCTGCCATTGTTATGAGAACAGTTAGAAACATAGTGGACACAGGAAGAACAATTGTTTGTACCATTCATCAACCAAGCATAGACATATTTGAAGCATTTGATGAGGTGAGTGCTGCTCTTGATCAAATGATGCTCTGTTTTCTCATTTCTCTTATTTGACTTGCCATACTAATGAACATAATAAAAAATTTGGTTTCAGCTTTTCCTGCTAAAGCGAGGAGGACAAGAAATATATGTTGGACCGTTGGGTCGTCATTCTAATGAACTCATTGAGTATTTTGAGGTAAGGCGTGTCTGAAAAAAACAATGACATTTATAGTTCATGATGTTTGTTACGATATTACAGTACTATTTCTATTCTTGTTTTCAAGCAGAGGATTGAAGGGGTTGGTAAAATCAAAGATGGACACAACCCAGCGGCTTGGATGTTGGAAATTACAACTCCGGCACGAGAAATGGATTTGAATGTTGACTTTGCTGACATATACAAAAATTCAGAACTATATAGGTAAGTTGGTATGTTCTGTAGTGTACTAGTGTTGCTCAACATTCTACTTTAGTAAAAAAGGAGTATGTTTTAAAAAAATGTATTCCATGTATTAGGAGGAACAAAGAACATGTAGAAGAATTGAGCAAGCCTGCTTCAGGTTCCAAAGAACTTCATTTTCCTTCTCAATATGCACAACCATTTTTCATTCAATGCAAGGCCTGCCTATGGAAACAGCATTGGTCCTACTGGCGCAACCCTCCATATACTGCAGTGAGATTTTTGTTCACTGCATTTGTAGCTTTGATGTTTGGGACAATGTTCTGGGACCTAGGATCCAAAACGTGAGTTACTATTGGTTAATGTATGGTTTAAAAAGAGTAATATATCATTCTTCAAATCTTCCTATACTTTATGCTACTAGTATTAAATACATTCCATGCACACCATACAAAGTAAGTTGGGTGAGAGAATTTTTAAGGAGGATTAGAACTATTCTATTAAAAAAGATGCACAAGTTTTGTTAAATCCATATCTGCTGGTAAATTCATCCCCTTTTGAACAACATGCAGAAGAAGGAAACAAGATCTGTTCAATGCTATTGGTTCCATGTACAACGCCATTCTCTTCCTTGGGATTCAGAATGCGTTTTCTGTGCAACCAGTTGTGGCCATTGAACGAACAGTCTTTTATAGAGAAAGAGCAGCTGGAATGTATTCAGCCATCCCCTATGCTCTTGCACAGGTAGCTCATCTGACTTCTAGAAGCAATATTTAGTATTTTATGTCGGTTTTACATCTCCATCCAATTAATGTAAATTAATACACTTTTTATTTCTTAGGTTGTAATAGAGATACCATATACTTTTGTCCAAGCTGTAACATATGGCATCATAGTTTATGCAATGATCGGATTCGAATGGACTGCATCCAAATTCTTTTGGTATCTGTTCTTCATGTACTTCACATTTTTGTACTTCACCTTTTATGGCATGATGACTGTGGCTGTAACACCGAACCAACACATTGCTTCAATTGTGGCCACTTCATTTTATGGACTTTGGAATCTGTTTTCTGGATTTGTTGTCCCACAACCTGTAAGTAGTGTAAAATGCAATGACAAATGCATCTGAGGAAATTAAGTGGATGCACATATATGCTGACGTTTAGTTTTATTTTCTATATGGCTGCAGAACATTCCAGTGTGGTGGAGATGGTACTATTGGGCATGTCCTGTGGCTTGGACCTTATATGGATTGGCAGCATCACAGTTTGGGGATGTAATAACTACAGTTGAGGTAAACGAGACAGTGAAAGAGTTTCTGAGAAGATACTTTGGCTATAGAGATGATTTTGTTGGAGTTGCTGCAGGTGTAGTTGTTGGGTTTGCAGTGCTATTTGCTACTATCTTTGCTCTTTCTGTAAAGGTTTTTAACTTTGAAAGGCGATAGAATAGAATATATGCCTTGAAGTGAATGCCACTAGTGTAAAATATATAAAAGAAAGAGAAAAAAGATATGATGTTAATGGTAGTTTTGAATTAGGTGATGACCCCTTTGAAAGCATTGAATTAAAGGTGGCTTATCACGCTTCTCAGTTTGGACTTTGGAGCTACCGTAAGTTGGCATTTAATCAACTGTTTGTCCAACCAGGTTCAATGTCCCTGATTCATCTACAGAGAACATTGACCCATGTTGTTCTTATCTATGTAGTAAACACACTTATCAACATTGTTGTCTCATGCAGTATACAATAATGAAGTTTCTATTTTTGTGTGGTTGGGTTTGTTGATACTCATGAGGTAAAGAATAAGTTATACAAATATTCTGAACAACAGAACAAAATCACATATTGCAAGTTGCAACAAGCAAAACACATGGCAAATTGTTAAGAATAAAAGTATGAATGTATGTACCATTAAACACCTTATAAAAAGAAAGACACGTAAATTCATTGTCTTAAGATTTTGAGTTTAAAGTGATATCAGTTCTTTAAGTGATTGAACTCAAATATCATTGATGTTTGTCTTCCATGAATCTCCACCCCTCAAAAAGATCCATCACAAATTACATGTCACCCTTGCATCATTAGTCTTAAGAATATAAGGATGAATATATGTTTTGCGAGATGAGAAAATTAAACACCTTATAAAAAGAAAAACCTATTAACTTATTATCTTAAGGTTTTGAATTGAAAGTAATATATGTTAAGATACAAACAAAGTCCCACATAAAATAAAAATAAGAAATGAATATAAATTTATATACAAATAAAACCGGGGAGACACAACTATGTAAAGGATTAACACCACTCTACTCAAAACCTTAAAATAATGGGTTAATGGATTTTTTATCTTTATATAGTGCTCTACTTTTTCATTTTTATTCAACGTGAAACTTAGATTCATACTTAGATCCCAACAAATAAGACCGTGAACTCTTTTCTTATATAATTAAACTCAAATATTATTGATATTTGTCTCGCATGAATCTCACAAATTACATGCCACCTTGCATCACTAGTCTTAGAAAAAGGTTCAAAAGAGGTGGCAAAGACAATGGACAATATTTTAGTATCAATTTCCCCGTCCCACCTCAGTTGTTCATAATGTCTTCTTCCAATGTAGTTTAGTCTCCTTTGGGGTGTACTAAAAAAATAAAATAAATCACTAAGCATACCCTACGAGTCAGGTCAAAAACAGAAACACGATTGTATTCATTGTGTGTAGAATTATAGAATGGTTGCATGTTATTTTAAAACTTTTTGGCTAAGAACCAAATCAATGAATATTTTTTTCAGAAATAAATAAACATCTAGAAGAAAGAGCAATTTAAAATAGGAACATAGTCATTGGTCAAGCCACCGAATCCGATCCGATTAATAAATTGAGATAGGATAGATACAAGAGAGAACGAGTCCAAGATCATTTTATCGATTGATTTTGCGAGTGGCATCTAAATGGTAACTTGAGGTTTCCTCTTTCGTACCTTTTTCCTAAACAAACAAACTTGTTGGCTGCTTTTCTGTATACATTATAGCTACTTTATTCCATCTAGAAGCCTTACTATTTAAGCTTTTTCTGGAAAAACAATTTCAAAAACACACATACACACTGCTGCATTGATGCTATGCTGTGATCACAAGATTCATCAACACCAATCAATTCTAGATGGCCCCATAAGAAAGAAAAGTTTAATAATTATATATTTTTCTGATAATTCTTCTTTACTTTTATAAAAAAGTGAAATTTGTCTTAGTTATAATTAGGAGCATTAAAATTCAAAGGACTAAAGTTTTTTTTTTTTTTCAACAAACGAAGAACCGATCAATTTCAGTGACTGGTTTCATTAAAATTTTTATCCATCCTGAGAGTCAAGTCAAGGATTTGATCGTTTCTAGTTGCCAATGTTTCGGAAATTAAGACTCAAAAGCAATGCTATTGAGATTCAAACTTTCAGGCATTTATTTTCTTTAAATTAATATTAAAAAATGGAAATTTCCACTGAAGTTTTTGATGATGTAATTTGTTAGGTAATTTTACTGTTGTTTTGTTTTTTAATAAAAACGATTTTCTTTCTGTCTTGATTTTAATATGGTGTCATGTCTTGTATCGAATCTTTCAATTTACAGCCCGAAAGTGGAGGCTCCAAAGTCTTCAGTGGATATCTTTTTTTGGATAATCCTAATCTTCTGAATGACATTATTTTGTTTTTACTTTTGATTTTTTATTATCCTTTCTCAATTATTGTTTGCTTAATTATTATTAACATGTCAACTAGGGTTAGGATAATTAATCATTACCCCAACGTGAATTAG